ATTATTATATATATATATAAAGTTTAAGTCCTTAGGCTAAAGTAAAATAAAATCTATTCCTCATGCTTCAGCCCATCTGGTCTGAACCAGTTTTGTCAGCTTGACTATACAGACTCCATTTTTAAGTTAGTTTAGCTATAGTGACTTCATCTTGTTTTCTTCACTCATTCCTCACCTTTAATAATAAACTGGTAATCTAAGATGTAAAATGTTTCTGTGAGCTGCTCTAGCAAATTAATCAACTGAAGGAGGAGGTTGCGGGAATCTCCAATCTGTATATCAGAAGCACAAGGAGAACCTGGACTTGAGATTGACATCTGAAGGGGGCGGGAGGGCGGCAGTCTTATAGGACTGAGCCCTTAACCTGTGGGGTCTGACTATCTCCAGGTAAATAGTGTCAGAACTGAGTTAATTGCTTAGTCATTTGGGGAAAAAAGACACACATCAGAATTGGTGTCAGAACCAGAATACCCTTAATCATGCCTGCAAAGTCCCTTTTGCCAGGGGTCCCTAACCCCTGGGCCACAGACCAGTACCAGTCCATGGCCTGTTAGGAACTGGGCCACACAGCAGGAGGTGAGTGGGAGGCAAGGAAGAGAAGCTTCATCTATATTCGCAGCTGCTCCCCAGCGCTAGCATCACCTCCTCAGTTCTATCTCAGATCATCAGGCATTAGATTCTCATAGGAGCACTGGTCCCTGGTGCCATGTAAGGAACATACACAGGCTCTGGGGATTGGGGCATGGACGTCTTTGGACGACCATTATTCTTCTACTGTACATAGTTACTTCTTATTTACAGTAATGCTATATATTGTTTCCATTTAATGAAACAATACCAATTTTCTTTTCAAAATATTTTTCTTTTTCAGTAAAAACAGTTTATTTGACTTAAAGGATGCTATGACTGATTGTGTCCTCCCAAAATTTATATTTCGAAAGCTGACCCCCGTGTGATGGTATTGAGGTGGGGGCCTTTGGGAAGTGATTAAGTCATGAGGGTGGAACCCTTAAAAAAGAGACCCCAGAGAGCTCCCTTGTCCCTTCTGCAAGGTAAGGACGCAGTATGCGGATCCTCACCAAAAACCAAATCCACAGAGGCCTTGATCTCGGACTTCCCAGCATCCAGAACTGTGAGAAATAAGTGTTTGTCGTTTGGGTCCCCCAGACAGACTAAAACAAAGGACATGTTAAGTAAGTAGTATTCCATATAATTCTTAGGTAAGGAAAAAAAAAAGACAACATAATAAAACACAGCTGGTAATGCAGCCAGACGATGACTGAGATCTGGGAAACTGAGGTCCGGATGAGAAGGTTCCGAGTCCTGCTCCAAGTGAGGAAGCAGCTGACCTTGGAAGAAACAGTGTCTGTTTGGTAAAAAGGCCAGCCTCCCAAAGACCCAGCAACAGTCTTGTTGACATAACCCTGTGGATCAAAGTAATCCCCTAACTGCCCCGAGGCCAGTTCCTGTGGCTCCCAGTGGAATTCACTCAGAGGATCCGGATCCGGGCCCTGTAAGTATAAAAGGCCTGGTCCCTGGGTGGGGAACTACATCCTGGAATAGGCGGTGGAAGACTGCAAAGGACCTGCGGCTGCAGCAATGGCCCCCTCAGAGGACCCCAGAGACCAGACAGCTGGCCTGAACATCACGGGCCTTGACACAGACCTAGAGATCAGTTCAGGTACGAGGTGGCAGAGGGTGCCTCCGTCCCGGAGGAAGACAAGCTGAAGGGGCGCTCGGGAGGCGGGGGACAGAGGGCAGCTATCTTCTTGGGGGCTGTCGGGATTCTCAGGCCAGGCCTCCACTTTTATCTCTTGTGTTAACCAACCTAACGAAACATAATAAACTTCCTCCTGGGCCTGCCTGTGTCATGGCGAAGAGCATGTAGTGAAGGGCATGAATGTGTTTATTATTTGGATAACTTGCAAAGTTTCTTATTTAAGGGCCCAGGCTTTAGATTCAGAGAGACCTGCTCTGGTACCTGCTTAATTGATAAATCGATTGGTTGGTTTATGGCTGCTTCTCCCTGTGCTGGGCCCTCAGTGGGGCGGGGAGGACAGAACAGGGATCCCCAGGCCAGTTGCGCCGGGCACTGATGTTGTCCTCCGAGGCTCTGATGTCATGTGGGGAAAGAGAAGCAGCACAGAGCTGCCCGAGGACCACCAACATCTGCTCAGGCTCAGTCTCAGGTTCCTCATCTGCACAAGGTGGCTGGGGCTTTCCTCCTGATTGTGACCTCACTACTCACTGTGTAGTCTGGGGACCAGCAGCCCTGGCATCCCCTGGGAGCTTGTTAGGAATACAGAACCTCAGGCCCCACCCCAGAGCCATTGTACCAGAACCTGCATGTTGACAGGAGGCCCGGGCTGTTCCCGTCCCAGGGAAGTTGAGAGGCTCTGAGGCCGTGGTCTGTGCTCCTGGAAGGCAGACAGCTGATGAGGGGGAGGCAGGATTTAAAGTCAGGTCTCTGATGCTGAACTCCACGCTCTTAGACCCCACTGTCTTTCCATCCTCGTGTGTCAACCAAACCACAGTGAAACCCTCGTGGAGTGAGTGAATGAGTGGATCAACAGATGCGTTAACGTAGAGCATCCCGCGTCACGCTAACACAAACTTTTGGTCCTTTCCTTCTAGGTGGGAAGCCGGCCCACCATCAGAAGGCCGTCCCCACTGCTCACCTAACTTTCATTATCGACTGTACCCGTGGGAAACAGCTCTCCCTGGCAGCATCCCCAGGGCCGCCCAGAGCCCCAAGTCCCAACCTAGGACCTGTCACCCCTCTAATGAAGACCTACATCTTGTTCTGTGGAGAAAGCCAGCCCCATCTGACTCAGGAGACCCCCCTGGGTGGGGAACACCTTGCCCAGGCCAGGGGTACCCTGCCACCCTGCAGAGGGACTGTGGCCCTAGGTCCTTCCCCATGCAGCACAGTCTGCTCACAGGAGGCTCCTGAAGCCAAGGGGAGCCCCTTGAAGACTGGGCCCTCAAGGTCTTCAGCTTGGGAAACAGTCATAGGCTCTCTCAAAGCCCTCTCCTCCTGTGTCTGTGGGCAGGCAGATTAACCGAAGAGCCTGACCCCATGAGAGCAGGGGATTGGCTTGCCAGGCTCGAGTGTCCAAGGGTTGCAATTCCCAGAGCCCGCTCCCTCTTCCACAGCCAACAGGAGTCTTTTGTGCCCGAGCCAAGGAAGAAGGAGCATTAGACCCACTAAAGGACATCCGAATCAGCCACCAAGTACACACTCAAAAGCACCTTACTTCCTCTTTCCTCCCTACCTTTGTTAGCCTTTCAGCAGAAGCAGAATAAAGCACAGCCACATGGAAAGATCCTAATTCATTCATACAGCAAATTCTCATGGAGCATCTTCTACATTCCACTCTCTGCAAAATGCCAGGGAAGACGCCACAGCTTTCTGGGAGTAGGGGTGGGGTGGGGGAAGGGGAAGGGAAAAGGGTTAAACGACCAAATAAATAAAGATGATTTTGAACAGTGACCAAATGAGCGCTGTGTAGACACTGAAACGGGGTGCTGGGATGGAAAGTGACTGGGGCAAAGAGCTTTTCTGATCTGAAAAACGAGAAGGAGCCGACACTGAGAGCCGCCCTCCCCCTGCCTGGCCTCATCTCCCATGGCAGACCAGACTGGGGTCAGGACGCCCCACCACGACAGGCAGGGACGGTACCCTGGCTGCTGTCACCTCGGCTCACATACAAGTGTGGAGGTAGTCATGTTCCCCAGGAGGAAGTGGGGTCACTGGTGTGTGTAGGTCTAAGATATGCAGTGTGGTATGAAACGCCAAATCAACCCATCTGAGGATGTATCTCAAGGCTCTCAGATTAAAATTGCTGAATGTTCACTTACGCGATGACTGGTTTCACCAAGTTCCTACAGAGTTGGTAGCTTCCACGTATTGACCATTTGCTCTGTGCCAGCACGGAAAGCACTATTTTTGCACCCATTTCGCGGATTGGGGAACTGAGGCACAGAGAGGTTGAGGGACACGCTCAAGTCCCCGTGGACTGGTACTGGTGTGATTAGAACCCAGCCAAGCCTGGTGCTCAAGTTCTTGCTCTTGACCTCAGGGCCAACGGCCTCTCGTCCAGGCAAGGTCTCTTCTGGGCAGAGAGGATCCAGAGAGAACAGTCATGACCCTGTCCTCGAGGAGCTCACAGCCCGATGGGGGAGGCCAGAAAGGAGGTGGTTATCGATCGTCATAGCTTCTGCTAAGTGCAACAGTCAGGGCGCATAGAATGCTGTAGCGGCTGGAGGAGGGCGCCTAGCCCACTCTGAGAGAGGAGATCAGGGAGGGCTTTCTGCGGGCAGTGATGTCTAAGATCTGAGAGAAGAGAGAAAAAATAAAGATTGGCTAGTGAGTGAGTCATACAAAGCAGGGATGGGGAGTGTGCTAGGAAGAAGGGACGGAGTCATTCCGTCTGGCTGGAGTATTCATTCATTCATTCATTCATTCATTCACCAAGTGTTTATTGGGCACCCATTGTGTGCCAAGCTCTGAGCTAGACCCTGGGGTGGAGCAGTGATAAGACAGACGAGTCTCCATCGTGAAAGTGCTTATTCCCTAGCAATGCACACACAAAACAGAGGCCAGAGAAGTGGCAGGGACCACATCACGTGAGGTCTCGCAGGCCATGACGAGGTTTTCACTTTTCATTTTTTGTAATAAATATGTTTAATAATAGTTCGTGTTTGTTTATTGATGAAAGGTCTTTAGATTTTATTCTGAAATGGGCGCCGTTGGCAATTGTGAGCAGACCTCGCTTTTAAGACGTTTCCTCTAGATCTTGTGCTGGGATCAGAAGCTTAGGAAGCTGTACCTTAGTCCAGGAAAAGGGGGTGATGGTTTGAACTAGAAAGGTGGTGACAGAATAATCTGGGTGACATACACCCCTTCCTCTCCCTTTTTGGAGTAAGAATCAAGACTAGAAGGGTGAGGGCTGTGGCTGCACGTCTAGCTTTGTACCAGCAGGTGTCGCCCTATCCTCAGACTGGAGTGCACTCGGCTCCCACCTGGAAGGGGAAGGCGGGAACTGGCTGGGCATGGACATAAGGGGCCAGAGACCCGGTGGAGTCAAGGTTTTCAGAAGCCAGACTTTCAATTTAACCAACACCCCTCTCATCTGGAATAATGATTATTGACATTTTTATATGCACCACATGCTACCTCGCTTCCTCTCATACCAGACACGTGAGGTGGTCTGATTTTACAGATGAGGAAACTGAGGCACAGAGAAATGAAGCGATTGCCTAAGGTCACCAACTAGAAAGAGGCAGAGCCTAAATCCAAATCCCAGACGATGGGACTATGCACCTGCAGGTGCTCTGTTCACATTTGTTGAATGAGTAAATGAAGGAAAAATACATATTTTCCAAGGACCCATTCTAGGGCCTGGTAGCATCTAGGGTGTGTCTGGGGGACAGAACAGGTGAGAGGGGCCCTCACTGAGATGAGGCACACAGGTAGAGGAGAATAGCTCAGTTAGTCCCTTCACCACTATCCTCATTTTACAGATGAGGAAACTGAGGCTCTGGGAGGTTGAGCAACCGGCCCAAGGTCACGGAGCCAGTAAGTGTCAGAGCCAGGGTTTAAATGGAAGTGGTGTGATCTCAGCGCTTTATCTATCTACCACACTTACTGAAAATCTGTTGAGGGAACAGATCAATAAATAAATGAAAGACTATTAAGCCAGTGGTGAAGTCGAGGATAAGTGAATGTGTTCCTAGACTGGCAGCCATGCTTAATTCAGGAATGTGTCCTGTCAAAATAATAATAATAACAACAACAACAACAACAACAACAAAGCCACTTAAAAATGGAGGCAAAGCTGCCATGCCAGAGGAACTGCCTCACACATCTTATGCCTCAAACCTTGGGAATGTTAAAACAGGGCAAAATAACCTTTGGCTTAAGCCTAAAACAACCTTATGCCCCAGAGAACCGTTTGCAAAGACAACTATAAAGCAGACATTATAACCACCAAACCGATGGCTACCAAACTAAAAATTAAATTCTTTAGAATAAATGTCACCATTAGGTTATCCGCACCAATAGATATGCCTTCCTTCTACTGATGTAAACGCTCCCCTTCCCTTTCTCATAAATACTCCTTGCCTTTGTTTCTTAATCAGAATATTATGGGGCTTCTGCCCGAATCAGTGCTTCTTGAATAGCGACTCTACTGATCTCGAATAAATGCCTGTTCCCTCTCTCTTTGAAAAGTCTTTTTATTTTATTTTTTAAGACAGGATTCTTTATTTTAATCAGTAGAAAGACAAGTAGAAGACAAAATAATTCTTCATTCAGATAGGTTCCAGTGCCCCAAAAGTTAGTTAGATGATAAATACCACCTATTGACAACCTGTGAAAGATGAGACAGCCTAAGGTGCCCTAATAATCTAAGTCTTGCAGCAACTGACAGCAAGGCCATTTTAGTTGCAATGCAGAATCTTTTTATTTTTAAGTTAGCAGTTGCCAGTGTCTTAAAGGGCCCAGTACATAGTAAATGGTCAAGAATCCTGTGAGAAGGAGGGAAGAAAGGGAGGAAGAAAGGGGCAGATTTACTGTCCTGCACTCTCCTCTCGGTCCCCTGGGCTAGCAGCCCGGCTTTGTGCCTTGACCTGCGGGGAGGCATCCAGAGGGCCCCCACCCGGTCTTGTAGCCCTCAGACTTCCTTGGAAGATTGTCCCTGTGTCCAGGTCCCGAAGGGCCCAGAGCTTGGGACTGGCCTGGCTGGCTGCTCCCAGCGAGCCCCAAGCCAGCTGTGCTGACTATAAACAACACCTTGCCCTGCCCAGAGGCCCCTGCCTTGGGCACCCATCCAGCAGGGTCAAGTCACCCAGTGCCTCAGGACCCTCTCTTGTTTGAGGGCAGAGCCGAGGTGGGTGGAACCTTACTTTTCCTTGTTCAGAAAACAACCACAACAGTTTTAACAAAAGCTTAACATGTATTGAGCTCACAGCAGCCCTGGGAGGGTGCTGCCTGATCTTTGTTTATAGATGAGGGAAGTAAGGCTTCCAGAGGCTTCCCTCTCCCACTTCCACCCCTGGGGCCCAGACAGGCTCTTCCCAGAAAAGTCCTCACCTGTTTTTCCTGGAGAGAAGTCCCTAGGGGACGTCAAGATCCAAATCTATACGAAATAAGCTGAGCCCTACTGGGCATTTCAATGCATGGCACATGTGAGCTGCGTCACTACCAAGTGCCAAGCCTTTTACATGCATCACAAAACAATTCCAGCAGGTAGATCCTGTTAGAACTATTTTGCAGGTGGAGCAACTGAAGCATCAAGAGGTTGAGTTACTTGCTCAAGATCACACAGCTCTGCAGCAGCAGAGCCAACATTTGAACCCAGGCCGTGTGGTTCCGGAGTCTGCGAATTACCTTCCCCTCTTTACTGAAGCTTGTTAGCTTTTTTAAAAAAATCCTACAAACATTTGCTTAGCTCGTTTCCCGTGCAACACTTGAGAGCAAGAGGGCAGAATAGGGCCTTATTCCTCTGCTATTGCAGGACTGGGCTCTAAGGCAGATAGGGAGTGGATGGAGGGAGAGGGGAGATGTGGGAGCGGGGGATACAATGTCGGAGGCGGGGTTACCTCTAGGCCGGGAAAGGGTGGCTGTAGGGATGGGGGAGTTGGTCTGGTAGAGAAGCCCTGGCCTGACCTTTGGGAATTCTGGGTCTTCATTCCATCTCTGCCACTGACTTGCCGTGTGACCCTGGGCCTCAGTTTCCACATCATGCTGTCATACTGTAAGGAGTTTGGAGTGACTCCCTAAGGGGACAGACCTGGCCAACCAAGTGGGTAGGGCCCCAAGATCTTCCTTCCCCCCACACATGTGTTCTTTTCATCTGAGTTTGAGTTTCTGTTCAAGACAAGGTGTGAGCCTAAGGTTCTTTGGGTTCTGTCTGTGACTCTGAGCCGGCAGCTCTGGAGGGCTTTCTGGAAGAGGAGGCTTTTGGCCTGGCTAGGTCTTTAAAAGCAAGGGAACCCTCTAGGTCCTCCGCACTACTCAGGGTCTTAGGCACCACCCGACCTGGACCTTCTCACAGGTCTCTAGCTCTGGAGGGTGGTATCTTTTCAACCTCCTCTGCCTCCTGCTCAGGCCCCCTCCAAAAGCTGTGAGATACGGGAGTCCCCTTTCTTGTACAGGATGCCAGAATGGAAGGAGGGAGAGCTGCCTCCTAGTACCCCCAGGGGTGCGGGATACTGATCAGGGCTGACCCTGCAAAGGGCTTTCCAGAGTCACCGCCAAGGATTCCAAAGCCCTGCCACTTCCAAGCTGGGTGACCTTGGGCCTGTTGTTTGACCTCTCTGAACTTCCTTGTCCTTTTTGGTACCCACCTTGCCGGATTGTTGTGAGGATGAGCAGTGTGCTTGGCACACTCTAGGCTCTCAATGAATGGGGCTGCTATAATTATTCTTCCTGGGGTGGGGGCGGGGCTCAGGGCCAGCAGCCAAGCCTATATTTAGCCTGGAAAGGGTGGGGGGGCCCTAGGAGACAAAGCGCTGCTGCCGGCCCAGGCGCCTGGAGGGCGGAGCTGACGAGAGCCCGCCTGCCGTCCCCAGAGCCCTGCCCTCCTCTTCTGCAGGGTCACCTTGGCTGGAGGGCTCCCTCAGCGCGGACGTGCCCAGTCCCCAGCCGCTGCTCTGTGCCTGCGAAACCCTCGTCCCCTAAACCGCAGACTGGGGAGCGGGTAGCTGGGGCCTGGGGGTGGGGTGGGGGCGGGAAGTATGTGGCCCCATTGGCTACGTGGGGAGCTGACTCCTTTCCCAGCCCCATTGTCCAGCTCCCCACCCCCAGCCGCGCCCAAGTGGGGCGTTGCTGGGGTCTGGACGCCAAGGTGAGCCTGACCCCCATATGGGGGTCGAGGAAGGTGGGGAAGCTGGTCCAGCTCCTCCCCCCAAACCCGCGGCGATGAGTGCTGGGGCTGCAAATAGCCCAGTGGAATCAGTGAGTCACGGAGGCTGGAAATACCGCGCCGACTGTCCCTCCCCTGCTCCCGTCTGCAGCCCGAGCTGCACTGGCCAGTGCCTGGCACTCCAATTTCTGTAGCGCCTGGTGGAGTGTGGGGTACTGAGGGGGGGGGTCCCTCCAGAAAGAACCCAGACTCCAACATCCCGACCGGTTTCCAGCCCTGCTCTGCCCCAGGGGCTGTGTGACCCTGGGCTAGTTACTCAGCCTCTCTGATTCTCAGAGCCCACGTGGTACAAGATAGGTTTTAAGAAGGCTCGCGACTTAATGCTGCTGACCCACCTTTGGTGTCCCTGTGCCTGGGACAGAGCCTGGCACATAATGGCAGGGGCTGGCTGGCCATTGAAAGAGAGGCACCGAAAGGTTTTTCAAGGAAATAATTCGGGGAGTCTTGCCATGATAGGTCTGGGAACCAAGAAAGGAGGCCAAAGGACACCCACATTTCTGTGAGGTCTTGAGCTTTTCTTGAGCTACTACTCCTACCCCAAAATCTCAAGGAAGGTTCCCCCAGCTGCCTCCAACCCCACCCCAAGTCTGAGAACTTCAGGCAGGTGATCTCCAGAAGTCTGTGATTCTTTCGTTTATTATGTGTGCAGGGTACAATGCCAGGGCCCTCCCACGCCCTCTCCCTCACCCCCATTTGTCCCCTAAAGACCCCATAATGACAGGGATGAGAGGCCACTCTACAGAACAATGACCCAAGGGGCGCCGAGAGCAGAGGCGGGCTCTGCCACTTGCCCCAGGGGCCCCAAGACTAACTGAACCACCCTTCCCCTCACCCCTGCTTTTGTATGTGGAAGACTGAGCCAGGGTTATTGGGGATACCTGGGGCTCCCCAGAATAAAGGCTGACTGGAGGTTCCTGCTCTGGCCTGGGGACTAGGAGGGAACTGGGTTGGGGGCTCTGTCTATGATTCAGGTGTTCTCAGATGTGGGGAGGGGTGGGGGGCAGTTCGAGAGCAGCTTCTGACTTCCTGGGTTCATGTCCAACCTTCAGCGGGTAACTGGTCACACAGATGCTCAGAGGCTCAGTTTCCCCATTGATAAAAATGGACATTGAAGTCTGATTTTAGAACGTTCTGAATCTGGCTTCAACCCATGGTAACGCTTAGTATTTGAAGGACCACAGGTGTGTGCGTCCGCATGAAGTAGACACGCCCCAAACCTATAGATTCATAGATTAAGGAAGGAAGGGGAGGATGGGGAGGCATCTGGCCACAGGGAAGGCTGGCAAGACACTGGTCTAACCTCGAGACCCCAAGCCCCACCCATGCTCTCTCTCCCACGTCTGTTGGGTTACCTGTCTTCAGTGGAGACATTCCTCTGGAGCCCAGGCCTAGGGGTGGGGGGAGGGGGGAGAAAGATCAGCCCCACCCCTCAGCCTGGCCTTGCCTGGGGGAACGGAGCAGGTAACAGAGGCAGGACTTTCACAGTTTATCGTGAACCAGCTGTGTTGGAAAAACCCCATCTATATACAGACCCAATGTGGCCCTGCCCTGGCATGGCTGGCTGGATGGCGGCACCAGGTGGGCAGGTAGCCTGGCAGCTGGTTTGGGGCTTAGAGAGAAGCAGAGGGAAGGTTTCCACCATGGCTCTCTCCTCTGGCCCCCTGTGCACCCAGGCAGTTCGATTTAGGTAGGCACCTCTGCCTGTAATCTCCCTCTGCCTCTCCCACCCTCCTTGGCCAAGGGGTTCCCAGGTTCCCTCCCCACAACCCCTGCCCTGCAGAGACTCTACAGATCAAAGGATCTGTCCATCTGTCCGTCCTGGAGATGAGCTGCCCAGAGAGCGTGCCTGTCCCATCCCCTTCCCTAGAGTGGGGTCTTCCTTTCTCCACCCAATCCCTGTTTGCTAGATAAGTGGAAGAGGCCACATCTGGAATCTGGGGGCCACGGGCGAGGCAAGGGGTTCCCTGGCATGCTCTGGGCAGAGTAGAAGGCCTCTGTTTTTTGGGGGGGATGACCCACCTGGGGTCTGGGGGGTGTCAGGGCTAGAACCTGGGCTGAGATGTCCTGGAAGCTGTCATAAGGAGCTTGGGAAAACTCTGGCAGGCTAGTGGGGGAGCAAGTGGGGGAGTCAGGGGAAGATAGGGTAAGGGGGTGGCCCTCAGATTTTTATCTCTGTCCGGAAGGTCTGCTGGACGTGCTCTGTGTGTGGGTGGCGCCGAGCCCGGATGGTGAGGCTGCCATCCTCCCGCAGGGCTGAGGTCACTGATGTGGGGTCCACGTCCTCCGGCAGCTGGCACTTGTGAGCGAAGGTGTTCATGACTGTGCCATCGGCTGCCAGCTGGGGAAGGGCTATGGGTCAGGGCAGGCCGCTTCCTGCCCCTCGTCCTGCTCACGTTGAACCACAGCCCCTTCTCCCCAGGATAAGCCCGGCCAGAGCCCCGCACGCTGAGGGGTTCCGGTCTCAGGCGCGGAGGCCTGGCGGAGGGGCTGTCCAGAGTGCTGGTGGCCACTGGGCAGGAGCAAGTGCAGAGGTGCTTAAAGGAACTCCAGGGCTCCTAATGGGGGGCAAGGGGGCATCAATATGTTCTGTGTCCTCCAAGTAGCTGTAGTTTATGCAGGAGTCTGTGAGGCTTCTAGGCAGGTTTGCACACGCCAGGGGTTCATGTGGCATCTCTGGAATAGGTACCTGGTTGCAGAGCTTCCTCATATGCTCATTGAAAAAGTCTGCGTAGCCTGCGGTGGTACTAAGAGAAAGAGGAGGCTCGGTGGCAGAATCTGGGGCTTCTGAGCAAGGAGGATAAGGTGGCACAGGGCAGAGCCAAGCCCTCTTGGACACCCAGACACACTCACTGGTTGTCTACCGTCAGGGCTGGGCTGGCGGCCCTGCCCCCACGACTAGGCCAGCACATAGTGTCCAGAGGAGCCTGGGTGGCTGAGTCACTGGCGGGGGTGGCAAGGCTGGCACGTGCTGCCCGCTGGTCCTGGTGCTCACAGTTTTCGGCTTCCCCAACAGGGGCACCCGGGCATCCAGCCTCCCAGGCTCGGGGACGAAGTCAGGTTGTCGGAAGCCCTGGGCAGACCCTGTCCTTTAACGGGCACCTGTGGCTGTGGCCCACTGGGGGTGGCATCCCCGTTCAAGCTGAGCCACACCTTCCTTCAGGGTGCAGGCCTCCTGGGAGCTGGGACTCAGAGACTTCAGTGACCCAGTGACCCGAAGCCCCATAGGTAGAGGGAGTGGAGGGTTTGGAGTGTGCAACCCTGAACTGCAGGGCCTCTGCCCAGCCTTGGGCCCAACTCAGGGGTCCCTGAGTTGGGTCTCGGCCTCTGGGTCCAGAGGGCTTGCAGGGCGTCACATGAGGGAACTCTTACCTGCAGGTCAGTCCCCGCCCCCCCGCATGTTGCCGGGAGAGATGTCCTCTCTCAGCCACTGTCTCATCTCCCTCCTCTCGCCTCATCCCTCAGGAGCCCCCTGCCCGCATCCCTCCACCTCCACCGTGCCCTCCCGTCCCCCGTGGCTCCCTCGGCCGCCCTGGCTCCTGAAGAAAGGGTCTGGCAGCCTTGGGCGACAGCGGCAGTAATGGGCCCTGAGGCTCACCAGCTCCGGGAGCAAGGTCTCCAGTTTGCCCTGGGAGATTGGGGTGGGGGTGGGAGGACACTGGCCAATGTCTGGGGTCCCAGGATGGAACGTAGGAGCGGGGACACTGGGCAGAGGGTATAAGTGCGGAGCTTGGGTTCTGATGGGATAGGCTGGCTCACCTTCTCAGCCCGAACCTCGATGTGGTTGTTGGATGTGGTGACGATGATGTCCTCGGGGGAGAAGTCACTCACGTCCACTGCAAACTCGTAGGCGTCTCCAAGTGTCTTGATGTTGCCTGGCCCCCCAGAACGCGCTGCAGAGGGGGCTGCGGTGAGCTGAGCACGGGGCAGGCTTGCACCCAGAACCCAGGTTTTTGGCTGCTTCTTCTGGGGAAAGGGGTGGCCCTCCAGGCCTGGCCTCCCCCTCAGCTGTTGCTCCTACCCCTCCCTCGGCCCACCCCTCCCCACCTTTTGCAGCCCACCTTTTCCATGGTGGGGATGGGGCCACCAGGTACAGGGGTGGGAGGAGTAGGGGCGGGTGTGGGCGTGTGTATGTGACACTGTCTCCAGGCCTGGAGTAGGGGCTGTGTCCCACCCCTCAACCCCAAGCAGCCCTCCAGGGCTCCAGGGAGGACCTGGCCACTGGTGCTGTGTGGCCACTGGCACCATAGCTGACCCTCGAGCCACAGCTGTTCCTTGGAGACCTGCCCGTTCTCAGGGACACATCTGTCTCTGTGGCCACATCTGTCCTGGTGGCCACATGTGGCTGCAGCTGTGCAACACCTGTTCCTGGCAGCTCAAAGCCACAGCCACACTTGGAGGTGCCCCAGAGCAGGTGTCCCCTACCTGTGAGTCTCCCCTCCCATCAGAGCCCCGAGCACTTGCCTGGGAAGGTCAGGGGCTCCGAGTGGGGCCGCATGAAGCTGCTAAAATCCTCAGAAAACATGCTCAGGGCCTTGTCCATGGGTGGGTCCTGGGCCGGGAGGGCGTGGGAGGCTGAGGAGGACGAGGAAGATGAGGAGGAATGGAAGCTTCTCTCCGCTCTGAAGGTGGAGGAGGTCCTGTGGCTCATCCACGGGCAGGCGGCCGGGCCCTGGCCAGGCGGGCAGGGGTGGACAGGAGAGAGTGCGGGCGACAGGCTCTGGGGGAGCGTGCCGAGCCCTGACTGCCGGTGCTTTATAAGGCCCGACTGCCCCTGGGCTTGGGGCCAGCCCCTTGTCTACCAGCTAAATTTAGGCCTCGCCGTGGCCCAGAGGGGGCTGGAAATCTTCTCCAGTGAGATTGTCCTGCTGACAGTCCAACACGCGTAGGCCCGTGAGGCTGAGCTCACGGCCCAGCATTCCAGGCCCATCACTCCAGCCCCGGGGCCTCGGCACAGCAGTGGGGAGGGGGCCAGAGCTGTTCCCTTGCCGCTCAGACCCTCGTTCCCAGGACGTTGTGTGTGTGCGGTTTGGGGGGGCGGGCGGTGGTTTCTGTGTCTCCGTCTCCCCCGTCAGCTTGGGGCTCTCAAGGTCTGTGCCTCGCCCATCAGATCACAAGCTCCTTGCGGCCAGGGTTTTCTGTTCCTACCCCTCTCTCCCGAAGATCTGGGTGGTGGGGGATCAAGGCAGAGGGGCCCTGATCCCTGGATCTGGGGATTGCAGGAGCTGCCAGGTCAGGAGGTCAGGGGTGGGTGGAGGACCCCTACCTGTGACCCTGTGTGGGGTGAGGGGCTCCTCCCCTCAGGGCAGATAATGTTCACAGCCGTCTCTTAGGAAGGGTTGAGACAGTGGGGGGGGGTGGCGGGTAGAATGTGCAGCTGTCCCCCTGCCAACTCCCACCGGGACCCAGATTCCACGCTTGCCTTCCCCCCCACACCACACTCTGGAACATTTTGGGGCCCCAGGAGGACAAAGCTACCAGCCTGAGGCAGGACTGGGGGTTGGGCCCCGACTCAGGTAACTCAGTAAATGTCCTTAAAGATCTAGAAGGTTATGTTCCCGAGAACCATCCGCTTGACCTCCAGCTCGGAAAAGATGCCTAGGACCGTGGCAGGAGGGAGTTCAGTGCGAGGCAGAGGATTCCCGAAGATGACGCTTACTCCAGCTCTGACTTCTGGGGTGCCTGCTGGCTTCTGGCCCTGAGCTTTCCGGCTCGGTCCATTGGGTCCCCACAGCTCTGGAAAGAGGTGTCATCCCCATTTTTACAGACAGGGAAACGGAGCCTCTCAGAGAAGGTGGGCTTGCACTGGGTAAGCGGCAGAGCTGGGGTTTGAACCCAGACATACGTGATCCAAAGGCCTCCAGGGGGCCACCTGACCTGAACATATGCGTATGGAGACAGGCTGGCTCAGAAGACCCTGAAAAGCCCCTCTCTGCTTGCCCACAGCTCAGCAGAGCCAGGACTGAGGTCAGGTGGGGCTAGGTGGCAAGGCTAGGGGAAGGCCACTTTAGGTGGGTGGACACTCCGCTGCTGCCCAGGCTGCAGTGTAGGGGTCTGCTGTCCTCTTCAAATCCTGCCTCCTCCCCCACGGAGGCCTCTCTGATTGCTGCAGCCCAGACAAGGGACCCAGATGCCCACAGCACCGCCTGTCTTTGCCCGCCCCGGCGCCTGGCACTGTGACCTGGTCTGTGATTTCTCTGCTGTCCTCTCTCATCTGTCAGACTGGCAATTCCTCCAGGGCAGGGATTCACCTGTGTCCCCTTAGACTGGGGGCTCCTGAAGGTGGGAACTGTTTCTCTTTCCTCTGGCTCCCACAGAGCTTCATTCTTGGTGGGGGGGCTCCATCTACAGGGATAATTACTGGTGCTGGTGGTCCGCGAAGTGGGGCCAAAGCAGTGGCTGGAGCAAGAAGGGTCTCTCACTCCAGTGGAGAGTCATGCCTGGCCCATGTCGCCTGCCCTGGCCAAGGGGGCTGCCAGGAAGTTCCCAGCACTGTGGTGAGATGGGAAGAGGGTGGGGGAGGGGGAGGGGGCCCAGGAGCCTACTGCCCGCCAGGGGAGCAGGAGCCAGTGGCTAAATGCAGACACGCTGTCATGGTGCTGAGGGCCTGAGTCACTGCTCCTGGATGTCAGATCTCATTACCCACCCCTGCCCACCGTTCCTCCTCCCCCTCCCCCTCCCCCTCCCTCAGGCGTCACCCGCACATATACTACATCCACTGGCTTCAGAAGGATCCTGAAAGGTCATCAAGGCCATTCCCCTGTCTCTGGGCATGCCTCTCCCTGTAGATCACAGGGATAGAAGGAGCTCTAGAGATGATCCAATGCCTTCAATCCTGCACCTGCCAAGGCATCCCGATCACCTGTGGGAACTTTTAACAAACACAGACTCTTACCCTGCACCCCAAGATTCCGATCTGGGATCTTGGGAAGGGACCAGGAATCTGTTCTCATCAGCTCCTCACACAGCCAGCCCACGGGCCGGTGTTTAGAAACCACTCACTATGCAGTAGATATTTATTGAGCACCTACTATGTGCCAGGCACTGTTCCAGGCTCTGGGAGACTGGTGCGACCGAGGCAGAGGTAGGCCCCTGCCCCCACAGCTCCCAGGCTCCCCTCATTGGACAGAAGAGGCGACCGGGGCTCTGAGGGATGAGCGACCAGTTGGAGGCAGCAGAGCTGCTCTGGTTTCGAGCCCCCTCCCACCCTCCACTGCCTCCGGTGCTCAGGGGCTGGCGTGTGCCGGAAATGGCTTCGGGAGGGACTTGTCACGAGCACCGCACCACCTTGCCGCCCTCTTCCCGGTTTCCCGGTACTCACACAGCCAGGAGGGTGAGGGTGTGGACACGCGGTGCTGCCTGGCTGGCTGACGCCGGCTGCGAGGTTGTGGCTGGCAGCTGCCCAAGGCCAGAGATGGTTTGGGATGTCAACAGGGCTGCTGGTTATCCTGTTACGGTGGTACACAGTGGACAGGTTGGGGTGGCCAAGGTGACAGTGGGCCTAGGTCCGTGCAGAGCAGAAGCCCCAACCCCACCTCCCACGCTCAACACACACACGTCCTCCTGTTTTGGATTGACTTGGTCTGGCATCTAGGGACAGACGGTGGCTCAGGGTCCCAGGATTTTAACGAGTCATTGAAGGGCCATCGTGATTTTCAGAGGGAGGCTTTGTCTAGGGGAGGTGAGGAGGCCAGTTGTCCCAGATCTCTTGCCCAAATATTCCAAAAGTGCCATCAGACAAAAATCCCTCTGCTTTGTACCCAAACATTGCCCTGATTGATTCAGCTACAGGAGTTTGAGGAGCTCCGGGTAGGGGAAAAGCCACACAGTCCAAGTCTGCTGTGTGACTTTAGATGAGTGACTGCATCTCTCTGATCCTCCATTTATCACTGCGAAATGATGCTCTGTCTCCAGCTCACGGGGTGCTGGGAGGATGAACTGAGTTGTAGACTTAAAGGGCCTGGCACATAGCCAGCACGTCATAGGTGCTTGTTCCCTCACTGTGCTCCCCCGTGTCCTGGCTCCTGCCCTCTACTGGGGTAGGACGAAACCTGGGCATTTACCCAGAAGTGTTGTGCTTCCAGAGGCAGTTTTCTGAGACTGGAGGGGCTGGACACAAGGATCGAGTCTTAAGTTCCTCCTCAGGCCTCGGAGGCCCCTGGACCCCCGGATTTGCTGCCCCTGCTCCAGCTAGTTGGCCTCCTCCCCACCTCTGAGCGGGCTGGGCTGTCAAGGCAGGTCCTGGGAGCTCTGGAGTCAGGCAAACCTGGGAGGGAGTCCTGGATCTTCCCGTTGGCCTCTGTGACCTTGGACAAGCAGCCTCACCCCTCTGAGACTCCATTTCTTTACATCAGAATAGTGCTGCCTCCGTCATCGGGTTCTGTGGGCATTCACTGATTCGGGAGTGGGGTGTTGAATGCAGAGCCTGGCACACGGCAAGGAGGCAGTAATGACAGCTCCTCTCACCTTTCTTCCTTTTTTCAAATCCCTTCCATGCCTAGCTCTGAGACGATCCCTCCCAGTCCTCCCCCCATCCCAAACCCCAGGTCCCCAGCCTGTAGCATGAGCCACATGGCTCTGCTAGCTCTGAGACGATCCCTCCCAGTCCTCCCCCCAACCCAAACCCCAGGTCCCCGCATGGCTCCACTGAGTTGTGGGGAGCCCCTGCTCCTGGCCCCTCTTGGCTGCTCTGGCCTGCACGGCTCAGCGGGCCTGGGCAGTTTCGGTTGGTTTGTCAAGGTCGTTCTTAATGGCCGTGGTAAACCCCAGTAGGGCGCGTGGGGGAGGAAGGGGGGCAGGATGTTGATTGGTGGAACATACACCTGTCCAGGTACAACTGAGCAGCAGGCGAAGGAGTCTCTGTTAGAGGACGGCCATCTGGGGCCACAGCAAGGTGGACGGACATAGGTGAGAGGCCACTGGGTGTGGAGCTGGGGATGGACTCGGGTGGGCTCTGCCAGGGCCGGGGTGGGCAGGCAGGGCCAGAAGGTAGGAAAGCAGGGAGCGGGGAGCCAGCACCTCGTTTTGTCCCTCACGCCTCTCCTTCTGAGCCTGGGCTTTTCCTGCCTCTATGGCCCGAGCTGAGGGGAAAGGGGCTCAGGGCTGGGCACTGTCCGTGGGGAGCCCACTGTGAGAGAGTGACTTCACTGGGCAACAAGACCGCTCAAGCAGGGGGAGCAGCCAAATGTCTAGGGAGGGTGAGAGAGGTGACCGCAGGAGGGGGAGGGGGCTCTGAGGCTTGGGGTCCCGCCTCAATCCAAGTGCTGCCGGACACGGAGGGCACAGCTAGGAAGCCTGTCCCGCCCCGCACATTAACACACACATGCACACCCTCGGTGACACCACAGGGCACACGAGACTTAAGTCTCTCCTGATAACTGCGCACGTGCACACACACGTGCGTGCACACCCATGCACAGGAAAACAGCATCTTTCCTTTTTATCTGTGAGGTAGCAATACGGAAAGGGCCAAGCAGAGCAGCTCAGCAGGGGTCCATCGTCTGTCAGATGCATCAGGGACCGGATGGAGGAGCTGGTAGGGCTGCGGGAGGGCTCCTCCGGGAACCCTGTGACTCTTCAGGACCTGTGGGGCCCATGTCCTCGCATCCGCAGAGGCATCCGAGGTGAGAGCCAGGTCCGCTTCCCCTCCCCATCGAAGACCTCTCAAGACACCACTGCTTACTCAGGCCCCACCTCCCTCACCCATCTGAAAGCCTGAGAGCTGCCTTCCTCCCTCCATTTGCCCCGGACATCACTGCCAGAGTCTTCTGGTGGCAGGGAGGGAAGGGATCTGCCTGTCTCTGGGTCAGACATGCTAGATGTCTGCCCTCTGCCTTTGGGACTGCAGCCCCAGGTCCTGATCACTGCGCCAGGGGCCTTGCTAGGGGCCCAGTGCGTGCTCTCTGGCCTGACACTAGCCCCACAGGTCAGCAACACAGGGGTCTTGCTAGATGCTTGTGTTCTCTAAGCTACGGACCCTGTGGAGATATGAAAGAGCTGTAGCCCCCAGCACTCCCTCCACACCCCTGCCCCCTCGATCATTCTTTTATAAATACCCCAGTACGAAGCAGGGCTTGGGGGAGGGCAGACTGGTCAAAGGCTCCCTGGCAGCGCCAATGAGCCTGGCATTCACTGTGCCGCAACCTTCACTCACCACAAATTTGCCCCTCACATGAGTCGGAGGCCCCTCCGGGCCCCCTTGAATTGAACCACCTGCTCCAGCCCCATGCTGCCCCTGTCCTTCCTGCCCTGAGCTTGCCCAGGCCTCCATGGAAGGGGATGTCTCTGGCTGTGACCCCATGCCCCTGCTCCAGGTGGCCTGGAGTGGCTAAAGCAGAAGCTGTTCCGTGTGGGTGAGGACTGGTACTTCCTGATGACCCTCGGGGTGCTCATGGCCCTGATCAGCTTCACCATGAGCTTCATCGTTCGGCGTGTGGTCCAAGGTGAGCCCTGCCCGGCATGCACGCCTGCTCTGGGCCCAGGGCTTCAGAGCATGCGCACTCGGGGATGCCTGAGGGGCTGCCAGGTGCAGCAGGGCTGGGGGAGGGGTTGGGGTGGGGAAGAAGCTTGGATCCAGCCCTGGTTTTGCTCTTGACTTGCTGTGTGGCCCTGGGCAGGCTCCTGCCTGTCTCTGGGCCTCAGTCTCCTCATCTGCATAGTGAGCAAGAGAGACCTGAATGTTCCCAAGAGCCCTTTCCTCTGAACTCTGTGCTCCCCTCTTTCCTGCCGCCCCTGCTCCCTCTGCTCCCCGCTCCCTCCTCATTCTCAGCTCAGTAGAGAGGGGAGGGCACTTGCCTAGACCACCGTGCTTCAGCAGGCTCTTTCCACCTTGGGGTCTCCCTGAAAGAGGGGGCGTGGGGCAGGAAGGGTCTAACACACCTACTCTGGGAGGCTTACTCGGGTGTCATCATGAGGACCTGCTCCGCACCAGACACTGTCTCGGACGCTTCACACTCTGTCTCATTTCTCACAATGACCCTGTGAGGAAGGCACCAACCATCACTAGCCCAGTTGACAGATAGGGACGCAGAGGCTCTGAGAGGTTGCCCAGTCTTCTTCAGCTAGGGGGCGGCAAAACTGGGTGGGGGTCCAGAGTCCTGCTCCTGCCTCCTCTTGGGGATCTGCCACTCACTGGGTGGCCTAGGCTTCTTCTCTCTGAGCCTCCATTTCCTGGTCAGTAAATGGGCATCTGAGGGCTACAGAGCCTGTGGTGGCTCCCTGACCCCCAGATGTCCCCAGCACACAAGTGGCTGTACCGGGAGATTGGGAACAGCCACCTGCTCCGGTATCTCTCCTGGACCGTGTATCCGGTGGCCTTGGTCTCCTTCTCTTCGGGCTTCTCACAGAGCATCACACCCTCCTCAGGAGGTGAGCCCAGACACCAGGCCGTTTGCCTGTGTGACTTGCATGCAGTCCACGCCGGCCCAAACCTTTCATATCCCTTGGGCTTCTGATGGGGGGAGACAGGAAGCAATAACCCTATTTCACAGCCGAAGAAGCTCAGAAGAGTTGTGTCACTTGCCCACAGTCACACAGCGAGGAGGCCAGATCTCGACTGCTGAGTGCTGATGACTCTGCTTCCTTTCTGAGAGCTTTTCTGGGTGGTGATGGGGGGCACTAGTGGCCTGCAGGGACAGTGCCAAGGGTATTCTCGGGGTGGGGGTTCTGTATGAGGACATAGCTCCTCCAGGCCTCTCAGCTCTGCCTCCAGCTCCAGGCCAGCAGAGGAGAGCTCCAGGTGTGCATCCAGGGTGGCCTAAGAGCCTATCCTGGGTACCCCCCATCCTGCCATAGCCATCTGCCAGGCCCAGTTGGAAGGACAACTCACATCCCCTCTCTGACCCTCAGCTTCCTCCCTGAAATCTGGGTTTATGAATCCTAATTTCTAGGATTCAGGATGACCTGACAAGAGGGTGATTTGAAACACTCTGCAGGGTAAAGTGTTGAGAGTTTAATCCAGAGGTTCTCCCTCCTCCTGCCCCCGGACCTACCCCCTGACAAGGTTCTGGAATCCCGGAGCTGAAGACCATCTTGTCGGGCGTGATCTTGGAGGACTACCTGGATATTAAGAACTTCGGGGCCAAGGTGGTGGGCCTCACCTGCACCCTGGCCACCGGCAGCACCATCTTCCTAGGCAAAGTGGTAAGGGCAGGTGCGAGAGCACCCCCACACCTCACCCTGAACCTTCTTCCGTCTGCCTTTTCCCTGTTGCCCACCCAAGCTGGATCAGAGGAGACTCAGGCCAATGCCTGCCTTTGGGAGTCAGTCTTGGGGAGGAGGCAGGCTGGGTCCCGGGGTTGGGGAGATGGAGGAGGTAGGTGTGGTGTAGCAGCCATGCTGTCTCTGGATGAGATTCCTGCTTCCCGCCAACCCTGGGCCCTGAGGGGAAGGAGGAAGGGCCTATCTCCCCCTAGAGGACGAGACGTGGGCCCCGTGCTCATACCTTCCCCGGCAGGGCCCCTTCGTGCACCTGTCTGTGATGATCGCTGCCTACCTGGGCCGTGTGCTCACCAAGACCACTGGGGAGTCTGAGGTAAGGGGCTCAAGGAGGGCGCCTCTCGGAAAAATGAGGGGGGCGGGCGGGGGCTGGCCCTGAGCCCTGGATTCTGGATTCCCCCAGAACAAGAGCAAGCAAAACGAATTGCTGGTGGCCGGGGCGGCAGTGGGCGTGGCCACAGTCTTTGCTGCTCCCTTCAGCGGTGAGATGCTTCCTTTGCCCCGCCCCCTGCCCCCGAAACCTGGAGCTCGCCCACACCAGACTGACCAGCTCCCTCTGCCCAGTAGAGGAGTCTGGAGGAGGCATAGGAGCTAATTTCGCTCTTGGTTCTAACAGTAGTCTCGCTGTCACAGGGTGGGGGTGGGTGGGTGTCCAGATGCTTCGGGGTTACCGTAGAGAGACTTGGGGGTGAGATCCAGCCCTCTGTGTGGCCCTGGACCAGTGAGTTTACCTCTCTGAGCCTCATTTCCTCATCTGTGAAGTGGGATCATAGCAGTCCCCACCCCAAAGTGCTGTTGTAAGGATTGAGGTGGCTGCGGTTGCACAGGGGTGGCCGTGTTCCCTGGGCAGCTACCCTCCCCTCCCTTCAGTTGAGGACCGAAGAGAAGGGGCGGCCCTGTCTGCAGGCCCTCGGAGAGCAGGACGGGAGGGGTCAGGGCGCTGGGATGGCTGGAGGCCGGGTCTGCCTAAGCCCAGCGTGGCCCCCAGGCGTCCTATTCAGCATCGAGGTCGTCTCTTCCCACTTCACCGTCTGGGATTACTGGAGGGGCTTCTTCGCTGCCACCTGTGGTGCCTTCATGTTCCGCCTCCTGGCGGTCTTCAATAGCGAGCAGGGTGAGCCTCGCCTGGACCCCCTGACTCCAGCCTCCCGCCTCGCCTCCCCTCCCCCTTCTCTCCTCGCCCCCTCTTTTCCTCTCTCTTCCCTTCTTCCCTCCTCCTCTCCTTTCCCTCCCTCCTTCTTCCCCTTCCTGTTCCCCTCCTCTTCTAGGATAGAAGGGAGCTGACCTGTCTTAGGCACAAAGGGTGAGGGGCCCTGACAGTAGAAGGGGCAACGCTGGGCAGGGAGCAGGGGCCAGGGCTGGGGTGGGAGTGTGGTCCCTGATCCTCACTCCCCCCTATCCACCCAGAGACCATCACCTCTCTCTATAAGACCAACTTCCGAGTGGACATCCCCTTTGACCTGCCGGAAATCTTCTTTTTTGTGGTGCTGGGGTGAGTGGTGCCTTGGGCCCCTCAGCGCAATGTGCGTGTGTGTGTGTGCGCGCGCGCGGGGCGAGGGGGGGGGGTGGTCTTCTCCAGGCCTGAACTGCAGCCTTGGTTCTGGGGCTCTGGACTCGCCCGCCCTCCCTGCAGGGCCATCTGCGGCATCCTGAGCTGCGCCTACCTCTTCTGTCAGCGAGAGTTCCTCAACTTTGTCAAGATCAATCCCATCACCTCCAAACTGCTGGCCACCAGGTGGGCTCTGAGCTGGGCTTGCGAGATCCTCTGAGAATTCTCAGCTTCGAGCCCACGACTCCCTTATATAGAGCCCCGCCCCCTGACTGCAGCCCTATCTTCCTACTGAGCTCCCCAAACCTCCCTAGCACACACCCCACGTATGGAGCCCCTATTCCTTCATAATACCCAACTGCAGGTCCCCACAGTCACGAGTCCCCCTGCTTACCTCCTCCGTGTAACCCCCACTCCTCCTTGAGTCCTCACTCCCTCACTGAACCCCACTTTTCCACCGAGCCCCAAGCCCCTTGCTGCGCATCCTCTCCTCCCCAAACCTTGCCTGCCCCCTGGCATTGATACTTTAAAGTCAGCCAGGCCTCCTCTGCCCTAGACTAGCCATGCGCTGGCCCCACCCTGGCCTGGCTGACCTCTGTCCCAAACTCTCCTATTAGCCCTGCCCCCTTGTTACCCAGAGCTATGGTGGGTGGGCCGACCCCCACGGCTCCCTCTCCCTGAGAGGGCCTGGCTCATGACCCTGCCCCATCTGCCTCCTTCTGCCTGAGTGTCAGCCCCCAGGGTGGTGGGGCCCAGGTCCTCTTCCATGGGGTGCTGGCACTGGAGCTTATCCCCCGCCCCCACAGCAAGCCTCTGTACTCTGCCCTGGCCGCCTTGCTTCTTGCCTCCATCACCTACCCCCCCGGCCTGGGCCGCTTCATGGCTTCTCGGGTAAGAGGCCCTGAGCTGGGCAGCGGGACTGGGGAACCCCCTGATTCATTTCCCACTTTCTTCCTGTTGTCTCACTTAACCCCCACGACACCTGGAAGGAGAGGCCTTTGCATCGGTCCGGGAGGCTCTGGGCCAGTCCCAAGGTCTCCCCACGCTGATGGGGAGTGGCAGAGGAGGATATGAGGCGGGGTCCGGCAGTGGCGGGTGGTAGGGACTGCTGCCCCACCCCCCGTGCAGAATTCCGACCTGCTCCTGCTCCAGCTGTCCATGGAGGAGCACCTGGACTCACTGTTTGACAACAACTCGTGGGCGCTGATGACCCGGAACTCGTCCCCGCCCTGGCCCACGGAACCTGACCCCCAGAACCTGTGGTTCGAGTGGTACCACCCGCGGTTCACCATCTTTGGGACCCTTACCTTCTTTCTGGTTATGAAGGTGGGTGTCTTAGGGTCCCCAGGGGCGTGCCCAGAGCCGAGACGAGTCTTGGGTGGGATGGGGGTGCCTCCCCACGGAATGCAGCACAGCGCCTGTGCCTCCCCGCCAGACTCCCTGGCCTGACCATGCCCATTGCGTGGCCCTGGGCTAGACCTTCAGCTCTCCGAACCTTGGTTTCTTTGTTTTGAAAATGGAGTAGTTACTGTGCCTACCTCAAAGGGAAGGTTAAGAGGGAAGAAAGGAGAGCTCCTGGCACACAGTAGGCACTTTGTCAGGGTGAGGTTCCTTCCGCTGGCCGGTGCCTTCCCTGACACCAGACACTGGTGAGGGGCCTGGGCCCGGGCATCCTCGTCCTCCCTGGGACACTCTCCGTCCCGTCCTCCCTGCCCTGCCCGCTCTTTCCCCCAAACAGTTCTGGATGCTGATTCTGGCCACCACGATCCCCATACCTGCCGGGTATTTCCTGCCTGTGTTCATCTTCGGTGAGTCTGGGGCCTGAGGGTCCTAGAGGTTCAGGCATCTGGGGCAGGGCCATGGCTCTGGTCTGCCCCTCCCTCCCCGGGATGGTACTGAGGTTGGTCCCCAAGGATGGAGGGCTGTGGGGGCCGGGTCAGCCCCGCTCCCCTTCCTCACCCTAACTCTGTGACCAGGAGCTGCCACCGGGCGCCTCATAGGGGAGATCCTCTCTTTTGCTTTCCCTGAGGGCATCGTGGCCGGAGGAGCCACCAACCCCATCATGCCTGGAGGCTATGCCTTGGCAGGTAAGTGGGCCAGGTCCCCCTTGGGTGGGCTGGACCTGGAGAATCAGCCGGGCGTGATGTGGTCACTGAGCCCCTCGGCGAGCTCCTCTCCCTTCCCTGAGCCCCCGGTGCGCTCTCCAGCTTGTCTTGTCCCTAACCCTTCATCCTCTTCCTTACTGCCCTTCCTCCTTACGAAGCCCAGGCTTTGGGGCACTTCCAGCCCTGGTCAGCATGTGGCCTCTGGACAACTCCCACCCTAGCCCTTGGCCACAGCCATATCAGCCTTGGCGTCTGCATGAGGCTGGCCCTCGGCCTGAGCCCCCTGCCCTGGCTTTGCTTCCTGCAGGGGCTGCGGCCTTCTCAGGGGCCGTGACCCACTCCATCTCAACGGCGCTGCTGGCCTTTGAGATGACCGGCCAGATCGTGCACGCGTTGCCCATACTGATGGCAGTGCTGATGGCCAATGCCATCGCCCAGAGCTTCCAGCCCTCCTTCTACGATGGCACCATTATTGTCAAGAAGCTGCCGTATCTTCCATGGATCCGGTGCCGAAAAATCAGGTGAGCAGCACTTGCCTCAGGCCGGCTGCCAGAGGCAACGGTGTCTGGGTGGGCTGGGGGTGGATCCCCCCAAACACCCCACTGCAGCTGACCTTGGACGTGGGTGGTGTGGGAGGGCCGACACGCAGCTGCCCTGTTGTCTCCATTCTCTGAAGCTCCCTGAGTGACCTTGGGCCTTGGCCTCCTGGGCCTCTGCACTTTACTAGTCATTAGTCTGTCTTCACAACAGAACAGATGTTGCCCATTGGTGGGAAACTGGGGCTCAGAGACGTGCCATGTCTTGCTCCCGGTCACACAGAGAGTCAGCAGCAGGTCTGGGGGGGCCCCTCCCCGCTCTCCGCTCCTGCTCTGCTGTTCTCGCTGGGACATTGTGTGCTGGAGGTGGAACTGGCGTGGAAATGGGGTTCGAGGTCCTCGCTGGACCAGGTGGGACCACAGCAGCCTCTGTCCCCTGAGAGGCAGGACGAGGAGGCCCTGAGAATCCCAGGTCCCAGGCCCAGCGCCAAACACGTGCCAGCTGCCACCTTGCTGTGGACCTGTTTCCCCATCTGTAAAATGCGATTGCTTTTCAAACGTTAAAGCTTTTTTTTTTTTTTCCTTTTTGCTATCAGACTTTTTTCAAATGACATTCTCTAGGGAAGGATTCTGAATAAAACAGACCAAAGCCGGTTGCGGGGAGGGCGGGTAGCGGGGAGACAGGGATCCAGGGGGCTGAGAATTCAGAGCCAGGCCATACACAGGTAAGCCGGTCCTCAGGTTCCTCTCTACCTCAGGGTTCTAGGAGCTGCTCATTCTGGGAACCTCTCAGGCCCTGCCCACACCTGAGAACCAGCAGAAATCCCCCAGCTCCCCCGCCTTGTCCTGGGGTCTGGGGATGCCCCCACTCCAGGACCTGATGGGACCATCCCTCTGCCCCCAGCTCTCACCGTGTCATTGTGGAGCACTTCATGAACTGTACCATCACCACGCTGGCCAAGGACATGCCACTGGAGGAGGTGGTCAAGGTCGTGACCTCCACAGACTTGGCCGAGTACCCCCTGGTGGAGAGCACAGGTGCCTAGCAGGAAGAGGGGAAGGGAGAGTGGGGAGGGGCATTCTCTCTACCTTCCTCTTGGACCCTGGAGGGTCAGGCCCAGGAAAGGGGAAGCAGGGCATTGGACCTGTCGGGCCGACATGAATCTGGATCCTGGCTCTGCAGCTGCGTGACATTGGGCAAATCACTTCACCTCTCTGAGCCTGTTTCCTCATGAGTAAGATGGAGATTATAGCCATCCTACTTTGAGGTGGCCGAGATGTTTAAATGAGAGATGAGAGGATTCTCGTAAGGCTCCCCACAGTCAGCTCTCGGAATTCTGGAAACCACGCCCGGTGTGCTTGGGGACTAGGGGCAGGATGATGGTGGCACTAGCAGAGTCATTTGGAAGGGCTCTTCCTCTCAGTCTCCCCTTCAAGCGTCCCTCAGCTGAGTCCCCTTCACAATCCCCGATGTCATGAGAAGAACATCTTTTTAAAGAACAATGAATCTGAGCCCTCGTTAAGAAACACATACGCTGAATCTTTGGGAAGGATCTGGCTAGAACATCATTTCCCATTGGGACGAGTATCCTATGAGTGGGAAAGATAAGTTGGGGGTGGGGCAACCACATCCACTCGGGGTCACTGTCAATCTTTACGTCTCCTTTGTGCAAATGAGACCCGGTGTACACTTGGCAAGCATAGCACAGCTGGATTTGGGTCCCCACTTGTCCCTTGGGCAGGTACGGTAAGCAGCAGGCACAGCCATATGGGTCACCCCCATAACCACCCCAAGAGGCATAAAGCCACTTATGAGCAGCAGAACCAGGGGTCAACTCTCTATGAACTACAGTTGCCTCGTCTGGAAAACAGGGACCAATACAGAATGGAGTTGTCAGAGGGTCTCATCCCAGACACCAGGCCCTTCTCCCCACCCAAACTGGGACACCCTTATCCCACAGAACGTGGGATATTAGTGAATATGTTCAAATATCCCATTTGAACGTATTCACTAATGGAGAACCCCTCCTAGAGGCTTCGCCTCGTGGAACAAAGACGGAATTGGCCTCCAAGACAAAGTCCACTCTACCCTTAGAGCCACAGGAAGCAAAAAGCTCCCAACCCGCAGAGCTGGGCTGTGGGACCCTGCTCTCACCCAAGAAATCGCTCGAGTTATTTTTTTAAAAGAGGGAGCACATATAAGCCTAGTTCAGATAAGAAGCAAAAATACCAGGCTGTCCCCTCAAAACTGAATACCTGCAAACTCCAGTGATACTCTGGAGTGAGATTTGCCAAGCCCCCAGCACACAGTAGGACCTCAGAATATGGTGGCCTCCCAGGTTCATGCCTTCACTGGGCTGAGCCGGACATGAAACTTCCTGTGGGAAGTGAGGGATAAAGCCCAGCCCTGGGCACTGACATCTTCATTCAAGTGTCCCAAACCTGCTCCTGCCTTGAAGCCCTGCCTCTTGGGGAACCTTAGGGTCAGCAGACTCCCTCCTGGCCCCCTGGCAGCCTTGGCTACCTCACCGCCACAGCAGAAGCTGAGGGACCTTGGGTAAGACAATTAACTTCTCTGTGCCTCTGAGCCTCAGTTTCTGATTCTACAAAATAGGAGATAATAGCTCCTGACCCATAGGCTGTTGCAGGTTCCCGGAAACATAGTAGAAATGCAAGTTCCATCTTCATAATGCAGCCCTTGCCCTCCTCCTCCCCTCCTCTCTCCTCCTTCCCCTCCCCCTCCCTCCCCCTCCCCGTCTCCCTCTCTCCACTTGTCCAGATTCTCAGATCCTGGTGGGTACCCTGCGAAGGGCCCACTTGGTGCAGGCTCTCCAGGCTGAGCCACCCTCTTGGGCACCAGGGCACCAGGTGGGTACTCGTGTTGGGTGTTGGGAGGGGGTGGGGGGTCATCAGGGTTGTGAAGGGACAGGCCAGCTGACCCGTGGGAGAGGTGGTTTGAGAGGGGCAGCCCGGGGAAGGAGAAGGCTGGCCCAGGCCCCCATAACCCTTCCCCCACCCCCAGTGGTGTCTCCAGGACATCTTGACTCGGGGCTGCCCCACGGAGCCAGTGACCCTGCAGCTGTCCCCGGAGACTTCCCTGCACCAGGTAATGGGGAGACCGGGCATGGGGCAGACAAGAACTCTAGGGCGGAGGGGAGGAGCCTGAGAGGGAAACTTTAGCTCCAGCTTTCCTGGCACACAGTGTGGCTGCCTGTAACTCCTGGGCCCACTTGCTCATCTGCAGAACAGACATAGCAGTTCCTGCCCTCTCTGAGCCTCGCTCCGGGGATGTTGGATGATGCAGAGACTAGAGAAGTGAGAGGACTTGCAAAATAGAAGCCTCCGGGTAGAGAGAGGCAGTGGTTAAAACTATGTCCTTACATCACAGCACACATGGGTTTCAATTTCAGACACACCACATTCTTTCACCCTGTGTGATCTTGGGCAAATTATTTAATCACTCTACCTGCTGATACCAAGTCCTCCATACCCCACGAACACAGAGCCTGCAACACTGGGTCAGGGAGGGGCAGAAGCAGGCTGGGGACCTAAGGATGGACCCAACCTCTCGGTGCCACAGGATGATGCTAGATTAACAGGACTTTTCCACTGGTCCCTTGTGTGGACTCTGGCAACCCCTGCTGGTCACTTTGGACATTGCTCCTGATATTCCACCCACCATCACCCACCCGCTTCCCTTCCCGGCTGAGAGACGTGGGGGCATGGGTACCACCGGGCAGAGCCCAAGCCAGAGCCTCCACCTCTGCTCAAAGCCCTCAGGTTAGGGAGAAGTTGAAGCCAGAGGGGCGGGTGGGTGCCATCTGTCCTTCAGGGTTTCCCAATGACCCTTCTTCCAGGCACACAA